TTTAGAGCTTTATATGCCTGTACCATCCTATGCCCAAGGAAGTAGAGAAATTTATCAACCCGAAAAATTAATAGACCGGACGGGAGACGAACTCAATCGCCTCCAGCATGGACTTGCTTTGTAGCTGCGCCTTTACCGACTGAGCTAAAGGACTATCGTTTGTTACGTTTGAAAAAATAAATAAAAAATAACAATGTATCATCTTCAGTTATTTATGTATAGTATAAATTTTGAGTAATTAGTGAACATAATAGAACACCCTTACATTATGAGATTGTATTGAATAATACCGGCCTAGATTTGATGAAACATTATTTGAAAAAAAAAATGCAAATTTTCTTGAAAATTGACCTTTGCGTCTCTAACATATTTTGCTGTCCTATATGTTGTAGTTAATTTGGCTCTAGTTTTCTCAATTTTTCATCGATTCAAACCAAACACTCTGCACATAATCGAGAAATTACCAAAGTTTCATAAGTCACACTAGTTGGTTACGTCGCGATTCTGTAATTACACGGATATTCCTTAGGGTCTGTACAATGGTGAGACATTTTCATGACATTTTTTTTATTTCTAATATGATCCTAGCACTTTTTCAAATCATAACCGAATCGTATATAGGGGAAATGACGGCTTCGGCATGCCAGACTATTTTCGGCAACCCAAATTGAAACACTATTTTCACTGGATTTTCTTACGAAAACACTTCGCTGAATGCATGCAAACGATTCTTTATGCTTTCAGCTTCAATTTGACTATATTTTTACCACTGAGAAAAAGCAATCTAGTAGGGTTTTCTTGAAATGAAACACACGCACTAAAAATTGTAGCTGATTTCGAGTTGCCGATAATAGCACAGCAGATTTACATGCAGTTCAAATGGAACGGTTGCCGAAGAAAAACTGGTTGCCGACAATACTCGCTCTCACTAGAGAAGATTGGAGCTTTGTAAAAGCGTTTCAAAACAGTTTTTGACAATTCTTTCGACTGAAATAGTTAGAGCAGCTGGCAGCAAAAGATTGTAAACAAACCAATACTGCATATGTGTGCGTTCCTTAGAGAAAAAGGCTATAGAAAGAAGGTTGCTGCTTAGGTTGCCGAGAATACGTAAATTCCCCTATGTGACTTTGTGTATCATGTACGACTTATTACTAGGTATACCGGAAATTATAGGTTTTCCAAATCGTCCAGGACATCAGTTGCTTTGTTCTACTAGATCAACCAAGACTGTAATAATGTCTGTAGTATCGAAAAATGCCCAAAGTGTCAAAGTGTCTATTGTCGATCATGCAAGAACTGTTGCCATGTATACCAGATGTTTTAAGTTCTCCAAATCGTTCTGGAGTTCAGATGATTTATTCTACTAGATCAACCATAACTGGGATCAGTGTTGGCAAAATCAGAAATCAATTGATATTTTTCTGCTCTCATGCGCTCGCAATATCACGCGTGATATTGGAACAAAATATCATGCTTGATATTGATTTTACAAGCTCCTTTGATATTGCGAGACTATTCACAATGTGCAAAAATCAAGCTGAGAGTTGACTCAATACAAAAATGATTCCATTGCACATCGTTTTTTTAGAAAGAGAAAGCCTAGTTTGCTATCTCTTTTTAATCTTCACCGATGGCAGACACGAACGGACTGCTGCAAGCCGTTATGGAAATAATGGTTGCATTCGGGAGTAAAGCAAAAATCATTAAACTCAATCTCACCACAGTTTGGTGAGATTTGCAGTTGGTGAGTTTTGTTAGCTTGATATTCCGAGCTGCGATATCACAGCTTGCAAAAACAACCGCAGTAGTTTGCTAGTTGATTTTTGTCTACGAAAATCAAGCGTGATCTTGGGCGTTGGTGAGATTTAATTTTTTGATATTTTCCCAACACTGACTGAGATAAAGTCTGTAGTATCGAAATATATCCAACAGATTCATAGTGTCTATATGAATAATTTATTTTATGACTTTCTCAGTCTAGGGTAATCCAAACAGTTAGTTTTGCATTTCCCGACGTTTCGGCCGTTTATTGTGGCCTTTTTCAATGGTTAAACAGTCTACCATTTGTCGTTAAATGTTGTTTGTTGCCACGATAAGCTTGGAGCAGCTTCTTGTATGGTTCATTGAGTTTGATTTTAATTAACATGGGACACTATACGACCAGTGATGGAAAAGTTCGCGTAAACTCACTATGACTCGCGAACTTTTCCCTTGGTGAACTTCGTGAAATATCGCGAACTTTTCCAACACTGTATACGACACTACACTTTACAACGGTTATTTTGAAGAAGATGGTGGGATAAAGCTTATCGTGGCAACAAACAACATTTAACGACAAACGGTAGATTGTTTAACCCTTGAAAAAGGCCACAATAAACGGCCGGAAAAATTGCAAAAAAATTGAGAGCCATGAACAAAATTGATGACAGCAAAATAATCCGGGACGGAAAGGTTACAATGAATTTCACAATTTTTGTGACAGAGCATCAGTCCCTTCGCGATTTTCGCGACAGCATTTAATATTTCCGCGATTTTCACGACGAAATTCGCGAAATCCACGCCTGTTGTAACAGCCCTGTAATTGAAACACACCATAATAGGAATGTATGGCCATAGCTGGTACACTTACCCTAGGTGAAATTTAATTGGTACTCCGGTGCGAATTGTATGCAACTGTGCCGAGTCGGAATTGAAAAATACTAAATTTAGTGCCGGAAGTCCACTGACAACCGACATTAATACTTTTGCTCGGAAATCTATAACTGCCGATTAAAATGCGCAACAATCCGATGTGTCAAAAGTATTGCATTTTTTATATTGACTGGTAATTTGTGTTACATCCGAAAGGAGATGAGAGTAGACCACATTTACAGTTAAAAAAATGTACGGCAAGGTACACGGAAACAAATCCGATTCCATTTTCATGAATAAAAAAACTTGCCATCCCATGAAATCGTAACAATGATTCATGATTTCGTCATGGAAATTCATGATTTCATAATGCAGTGGAATCAAGACCGCTACAAGCGTTACACGTACTTGTTCATAAACCGCACTACATAGGTATCTCTTATACGCCTTTTGTTTTCCAACTTATGCAAGTACTGATAGTCTACTGGTCAAAGTGTGGGTTTAATGATCTCAATGTTCTTGGTTCGAATCCAGTCTGATGCTTTATTTTATTCTTTTTGCATTCTTGGTTGAAGTTAAACCCATGAATTTAGCTCATGATTTCAACTCGGATGATTCATGATTTTGGAAATGTTTGTTGCGTTACGCAAAAGTTGCTCATGATATCATGAATATTATTCATGGTGTATTTTCATAACATGAAAATACGCTGTGTTCATGAAATCATGAGTCATTTTTCTCATTTCGGAGATCGGATTTTTTCCCGTGTAGGTCGAAAAATCATTCCTTACCGAGTTATTGAGCAATTAATTTTCTACTGATTCAAAGTGTCTCATTTTGCTCGGGTATTCATAAGCAATCAAAAATGTTGCACGACAGTTAAATGTAACATTAAACGGTTATAACCTGATCAAATCCATCCGAAAGTAAACCTGTGGCGCCAATTGAGTAGAGTGATTAGTAAACAAAGATTGATCCAGGTAGTAGCCAAGCAATGCTTACTCCCTGGTGGGCTTTAGTAATATTCGCGAGTACCCGAGCAAAAAGTGGCAGTGGTGCTCGGCAATGTAAAATAAATAGATCAATAAATCGGTAGGGAATGATTTTTCCACCTACCTTGCCGTGCATTTTTTTTGCTGCAAATGATACTTAGTACAAGTTACAAGAAAAGGTTGTAAAGTGTGTGTTTGACACATAAGATCTGCCAATGTTGCTTTCAGAGCGTCACAATGAACGATTTTACGATTCGTGAGCGCTCACTCTGAGTGAACGCTCACGAATCGTAAAATCGCTTATTGTGACGCTCTGAAAGCGAAATTGACAGGTTTTATAAGTCACAATATCTTCTTGTATCTTGCAAGTACTAATTATCATTATAACATCTAATGATTTCATAATTTAAAAAAAAAACTAATTTTTTTATAGCAAGTGAGTGGAAGTAACCCTGCCTTTCGGGTGTAACACGAATTACCAGTCACCAGCGCTTCTGTGACATTCATCTATATTCTGCGAGTCGTCACTAGTGAGGGTGTGAGAAGACTTTCAGTGCTATTCTGCGCAACGTGTGAGGTGAGGTAACTCTCTGTCACTACACCTCACCTCCGACGCCGCACACAACAGACCTGAGAGAGTCCCGTCACACGTCGTGACTTCTATCGACGACAGAGAATCATTGAAATCGCACAGAATAGGGGAGATCGACAACCGCTCCATCACCTGCGCTTCTAGACGTTGAATGCTGACTATTGAAAAGTTCACCGAAATACCCAAACCACAATCCCAAACACTGGAAAGGCACCGTGTATGTGTGTAGGTATTATGCTCATCAAAGAAGAAAAAACGGAAACTAAAGTAACACTACACGCGTTATTGCAATTGTTCGCATTCAATAATAGGATACACTAAGGCTAAGAGGAAACCTTGCTAACCCGGCTTTGTACGATCCTATTTCCCAAATTTTGAAGAATTTTGAAAAGATGGTCAGATTTGCTCAAATCGAAAACAACAATTGGTCCAATGTTCGCCCAGTTAAGTCGCTTGATTGTGATGGTTTTTGATTTGTTTTATTTTTTTTTCGATGTGCCTGAAACAGTCGGATCGCTCCGGAGTCCGGATCCGGACGTTGATGATCGTTTTTATATTCGTCTCGATTGTTGGACATAGTAGGAGCTAGGATTGTACTGGAGACGATTTTTTTTTCGTTTTCATTATTAGCTTAATCATATATAGAGAGAGAGTAGAATAACATTTAGTTTTGAAGTACGGCAAAACAAAAAAACGAAATATGACGTGGAAGGTAAAAACGGGAAATTAGATAACACAATAAAAAATGATAGAGAGTATGGATTGGAGTATGTCAACACGCTCACCTGACATGGTTCGTTAAATGTTCTTTTCGCGCGAATTTTTTCTCGCAATATGTGCAATGATAAGGAGTTTCTCCGGTGTGCCATCTGTTTTATCGTCACCCCGTGGAAGAGATATGCGTGTGGTTGAGTTTTGTATTTCGTTTTCGTAGGCGGAATATGAGAGTACAGTGAACCACACGAAGATTCGGTCGATTAAAAAGAAACAGAAAGAGAGAGAGAGAGAGAGAGAAATACTTATAGGATTATGCATTGATTATGACAAGAATGGTTCTCCTTTCTCGTTTCCGCCACAGATCATGTGTCGTATTTTTCCAAACGGTATCTTGCATCTTCTTCAGAATTTTGAAGCCCTTCTCGAGAGAAAAACCCGGGAAATCTTTTAACCAAACGAGCGAGCCGATCGAGACGGGGGTTAATTTTGAATTTTTTGTGTGTGTGTGTGCCAAAACGGGGGAGGATGGTGGGGGAATGAGAATTGCCAAAGATTTCGAGCCAAACAGTGGGTGGTAAAATTTTGAATTTTGATTTTTCGGGAGGGTGGAATTAAAGCATCTGGTTATAATTTTCCCAATTTTTTCGTACGAGAATGGAGCTTTTAGCGCCAATAGAAGTCTCGACTCTACACGATGTGTGTGCGTTTGCGTGCGTGCGTGCGTGCGTGCATGACGACGACGAGGATTGAGGAGCGTGCTCTCACCTTATGTGATACGTCAAACGCTCTTTTCTGGTAAATTTCTTCTCACAATACGTGCACCGGTACGGGGTCTCGCCAGTGTGTATTCTGCATTTCGGATGATGGAAAGATGAGGGACAAACTGATTAATTCGCGTTCAATACGAGGAAAACTTTAACCCAGCTTTGAGCCCCCGCAGTTAACTTTTTTTTTTTTGGTTTTGGTTTTGTTTGTTTGTGTGAACAATTTGGTATCCCCTCGGGAAAGACAGAGAATGAAAAGGAAACTAACGAAATTTAAAATTCGAATACAAAATAAGCTTCGGAACGAAATAAATTAGACTCCAGCAGTTCAACAGCCCCCTCCTTCGTACGAGTTTCTTTTCCTTTGTTCTTCATTCGACCTTTTTCTTCTCTTAATGCTCTGTTTTCTTTCCATACCAAAACAACCTCTAGAAAAGAATAAAATAAAACGGAGTGTGCTTTCTCGTGGAGCCAGGTTACAATTTTCCCAATACCAAACATAGTGTGGACGACGCTCACCTGACATGATTCGTTAAATGCTCTTTGCGCGTGAATTTCTTTTCGCAATAGGTACACTGAAAGGGGGTTTCTCCAGTATGTAATCTGTCGAAAGAATTCAGAAAAGGTTGGTTCCGAATGAGATTAACGCCTCTCTCGCTTGTGTGAGTGTGTGAGTGGTTTTGTTTGTAATGGCTTAATTTTCCTATTAGTTTTCGTTTGTTCCGGGGCAGAAAGCATTTGTCGTTTTCTTTTTCACGTTATTTTCTTCTTCGTTTCGTTTTTGGTAGAAGGAAAACTCTAACCCAGCTTTCAAGTGGTTGTCTCTTGTAAAACGAAATCGTTCGGATAAGGTACACGCGCATCGCATCGGCATCGATTAGCAATTGAATGTCCTCTTCTTACAGCAACATCGTAAAAAAAATGCCACACGCTACTAATATTACGACACACTGAAAACAAAACGCACTCTCAAAACTTTTACGATCATACCAGTGCACGGAAAGAGCCGGGAGCGTTGGAAAAGTGCCATTCAAATGCGATCAAAAGCTATCACATTTACACCCCCGCACACCTGCGGAGGCTACTTATCAAAGTGAAACGTTATTTATTGGACTACATTCAAAGCAAGATAAAGACAATTGCAGATAAATAACATCTTTCCAACGTATCCCACCTCGCACTCTTTGCAAGAAAATCGATCATCCATCGCGTCTGGAGAGTCAGAAGAGCACTGACACCCAAAGCCAGGTTACAATTTTCCCAATGCCAAAAAACTAACTACTGTAAAAGTTATTGACTGATTTGTATGTGTTGAATTCCAATAGCTACTGGTTTTTATCAAAAAAAGGTTGTAAATCTTTTTAACTTTTTTTTTTTTCGTATTCTTTTGGGAAGAAAATTAACTACTCAAGTGTGTTGATATTGGTCAAAAACAAGCTAACTAGTTTGGAAAAACGACGCTCACCTGACATGATTCGTTAAATGCTCTTTGCGGGTGAATTTCTTCTGACAGTACGAGCACTGGAAGGGAGTTTCGCCGGTATGTAACCTGTTGGAAGAAGAGGAACGTTAGCTGCTTTTGTCCACTGGGGGTTCGGTAACGCCAATTCGCCTAAATTCGCTCGAAATTTCGCTTGCTGAACTACGTTCCTCTTTTGCTCCCAGGTAGTAGTAGCCACCCCGAACTACACCCAAATATCGTTGGGTGGAGGGCACTGTACCCAGCAAGCCGGACCCTAACACCGCTCTCGTCAGGCAATATCACCTGTCTATCAAACAAAACTACAGATAATTAGTAAAAGAAAGCAGGCTCACCTCGTGTGATTTGTCAAATGCTCTTTTCGCGTAAACTTCTTCTCGCAATAAGTGCACTGGAACGGGGTCTCTCCGGTGTGTAACCTGTGGTCCCGACACGATCGAAACCACGCCCGGGAACCGGGAAAGGAATCATGAAAAAATTAAACGTTAGTAAATGGAACATTTGCAGTCCCGGCCGTAGAGCAGCTCTACCCGGCCGGGTCAGAACTAGAATTCGGAAAAAATCCTTCTCACCTGACATGATTGGTAAGGTGTTCTTTTCTGGTGAATTTCTTCCCACAGTATGTGCACTGGTAGGGAGTTTCGCCCGTGTGCAATCTGTTCAGAAAAATAGAACAAGAAGAAGAAAACACAGCATCAGTTCCATCCAAGTCGGCTCAGAGACAGTGACAGGGCTAAGAAACACGCGTCAAATTTGGATTCTGCTTTGTCTGCTTTTGACAGTTGCGTTTTTTTTTCCGGAACAGAAACGATTCGCGAATACACCCGCCCCCTCATCGATGGCGATGACGAATAGCCACGACGCGATTCCCTCCACCTCCGATCAAAACGGAGAGGTCGTGCAAATCCCACGCTTCAGCGAGTACACCCGAAATCCGTTTATCAACTTTTCACGCTCCTACCATAGGACCGGACTGCGGGCCAGCGAGGCAATCAAACAGGCCGCCCGAGACTGGCGGCGTATCTCCCCGGACGAGAGGGATCGGTTCAGACGGCAGGCGGAAGCGGCACCGTACCGTATGCGGACCCGGAACAGAACGTTCAACCGGATCCTGAAGCTCCTGGATGGCACAAACGACGAGACGGAGGAGGACAATAACAGCGGGACCCCGGATAAGATAGCCAAGATAACTAGAATGATCGAGCGGTGGAAGCTTCGATCGTATCGCGACGTCATTCTCGCAAGTACCCTACCACCGGGCATCACCGGCATCAGAGGCAGAAGACGGAAGCCCCTTCCTCAAATGTACGGTTGAACGCACAACTTTGTATCACTTTCTCTCGTTTTCCGATCATATTTTCAGTGTTCAGATATAAACCAAATTAAAGCGAAAACCCAAAAAACACAACTAAAAGCAGACAAAACAAAAACTACGACTTTCAGTGTACCAATCAAAGAAGACAGAGAGGGCTCCTTCTGTTTTTTTTTTTTTTTAATTTTCAGGTTTAACATTCGATGTCTTTTTGATTTTCCTATTTTTTTTTAGGGGCTAAAGAAGGTGAGGGGTCAGTGAAAACGGGAAATGGGATCCAGGGGGGTGGGTTCTACTCACCTGACGTGGTTCGTGAGATGTTCCTTCCGGGTGAAGGTTTTGCCACAGTACGGGCAGCGGTAGGGCGATTCGCCGGTGTGCTGGCGCACGTGGTTCGTGAGGTGTTCCTTCCGGGTAAAACTTTTGGCGCAGTAGCTGCACTTGAATGGCGATTCGCCTTGAGGAAGATTACGGACGTGGTTCACTGCAAGGAACAAGGGTTAGCATAATAACACGGATCGCGGGTGTGGCGTTACGGCGCAGACGTCGAGTAGTTCTTTGTTTGTTTGTTGTTCGACGACGATTCGAGCACTTACAACGCGTTCAGTGGATAAGTTGAAATTGAGGTTATGTTGATGGGATTGATGCATTTTCCCGCAAATAAGACATGCCCAAGCAAATTGATCGAAATTGAGCTTGACATAATACAAGAGATATGATCACAATTTTGACACCTTAGGCTGTAGTTTACAATCCTATTTTGTTTCGACTTATTAGAAGATTTCTTGAAAGTAAATCAATAAGCAAGAGGTTCTTTGCAACCAGAATATAAATTCGAATCAATTTCTGTTTGGCAATTGCATGATGAAAAATGGTTATTTACTCACTAAGTGGTAGTGAAGCAAAACATTTTGGAAGAGACGACCCCATATAGTGGGATTCAATTTAGTTAGGAAGGACATTTGGTATAAAGGCATAAAGGGTCTAGGATAACAAAGGAGCAGACTAGCTCCTCTCTTATCCTAAACCCTCTCTACGCATGATTATAAGAAGAAAAATATTAAACTATGATTTCTACCAAACTGGCAAACCTGATTCTTCCAGTCAGAGATTATTAATATCTAGTTATAGTTAGTATAGTTTTGTGTTGAAATCAGTGGCGTCGCCTTAACCTCAATCTCCGTGTGCACCAGCATTCAAAACGTTAACAAATCTCAAAATATTGCCTGCACTGGCTAGATATCAATAAAATTAGAAGATTCTGAGCATTTTGCAATCGATTGGAATTTAAATATTGTTAGATATCACGTTTTAAAAGTTGGTATAAAAGGTTAAAAGTTAAGTAACACGACGCCACTGGTTGAAATTTTGATCAAAACAACCAATAACTCGATACAGGCTTGGTATTTTTCGGTTAAACGTCATAATACTAAAGATTCTGATCCTCCTTCAAAACTAACAATTCAATCTATTTGGGCTTGTCGAATATGCAAGACAAAAAATATACAAACATAACCTCAATTTCCACTTGATTCGAAGAACGATTTGTATTGCTACACTAAAAACGTATAACAAGCCATGGCAAATAAGAGAACACTCTATAAATCAAAGAACAAACATGGTTTGAATCATCAACGAAAAGTGTTCGGGCACTCTCTTCTGAAATTCAGCTTTAAGTTGTATGCATCATGTACCGTTAAACGGGGTGAAATTGGTCAGGAAGGTGAAGTCGATCACAGTACTGTTCAATGTTATCTCCCCTTGACAACTGGTAGTCTATTGAACAACTTCAGACAGTTCTTTGGAAAATGCTGTTCCTGACAAACGATGCAGTTTTCCCTGTAGATAAATAATTTCGGGAAATGGATGGCATTTGCTAAGTTTAACTCTTATCGTTTAATTTTGCGTGATTGGATCCAAATCGGAGGCAATACTTCTACGTTTTCATACCAAAAAATGAGTTAGTTTTTAAAACTACCGTAAATTGCCTTCATTTAGGCGTATTTTTGATTTATGTTAAAGCAGAACTTGCAATGTTTTAACGAAAAACAAATTAAAGAATCATTCCAGGAATTCTCGGAAAAGTTCATCAGCGCAATTCTTTAGACAATTTTGTTTTTGAACCTTTTTTAAATTCACTTAAGAAATGTATGAACCGAGCCTACATTTTTGTTAACTATAAATATTAAGAAAAATTGACTCTCGAACTAATTTTCAAACCATACAAATGTTTTAGAAAGTATCAGACACATTCAGAGTAAAGATAGAAGTGAACCATCATGTCAAGAAGAATAGAGAAACTATGTCAAAGTACGCTGCGCTTAAGCAAAAGTACTGCCAAGTATGAAATCTAGGATTCTATTAAAGATTTGTATTAATGATAGTCATAATTTGTAATGTGAAAGATTTTTTTTTTTCAAAAAATTCTAAAAAAATAATCTTCTTCTTCTTTGGCACTCTAAGTAGCTAAGTAGTAACCACAGGGACTTTATACCAGCTCTCAACTAAGTGTTCTTTGAGCACTTCAACCAGCGTTGCCAGATTGTTTTCATGCTTATCGGTATCAAATGATTAAAAAATCGGTATTTATCGGTATTCACTATATTAATTAATTTTATTTTTTTTTTAACTATTGAACTCAAATCAAACGATGTACTTCCCATGAAGTCGGAAGAAATTTCTGGAAATATTTGAATTTGTCTCTTAATGGTACCGACAAAACTTCCAGAGGAAGAATAAAGAAGATCTTGTGGAGGAAGTTTCAAGGAAGTTCTAAGAAATTTCGGAAAAACATCCGAAAGGGATTTTGCAAGACAAATATTGAGAAACTTTTGGAATTTTTTTTAGAAATTTTTGGAAAATCCAGAAGCCAGAAAAGTTTGGAAATCGGAAGCCAGGAGAAGCTCGGAAAAACCTTCCAATAAGTCGAAAAAAAACCCACGAAGAGTGACTTATGGAGAAACTTCCAGAGGAAGACGAAATAAACTTCTGGGAGAACACGAACTATCCGGTAGAACTTTAATTGAACTTCCTGGAGAAGACGGTAGAAAATTCCAGGATACACTGGGAAAAACTTCCTAAGATAGATTGGAAGAAAGTTCTGCAAAAAGCTGAACCCCAGAGGGCTTAACGAACAGTCGAAAGATACTTCAAGGAGAAGATGGAAAATATCTGGAGGAAATATATTTCTGGGGGATGTTAGCACAAGATTCCCTGAAGTTCCTCACATGCTCTATTGATCCAGCAATTTTCATATGCATAAAACATCCCTGATAACCCCAACATGTCCCTGAAGTTCCCATAATTCCTCGGAACTCCTTGAAAGTTCTTGCAATTTTCCTAAAGTTAATGAAGCTGTTTTGAAGTTTTTTGATCATCCTCGAAGTACTCGAAACTTCCCTGATTATTATGAAATTACCGGAAAATCTCTTATCTTCTTCAAAAGTCCCTTCTTAGGGGGCTTTAATTTTTTTTAAATTAATAAACAACTGCATTAAAGTCCTCTGATCTTCTCAATTGTTTTTTAAGTTCTCAGAACTGCCGATAAAAAACACAGAACCTCTCTTAAAATGTTCTCACAATTTTCTAATGTTTATGTAACTTCCCTTACGTTTCCAAAATTTGCATGGACCTCTCGGAAATTTGCTGAAGTTTTCGGAAATTCCCTGAGTTTCTCGGAACTCATTTAAAGTTTCAGAAATTTCCTTGAATTTATATGTCCAACATCAGGACAGCTTTCCTAAAGTTATCTCAATTCTTCTGAAACAAATGGAACTATCCTGAAAACCATTAAATTTCTTTGAAGTTCTTTGGACGTGTGAAGATTCCAAAATATTTCAGTTTCCGTAAGTTCATTGGAGCTCTCTGAGGTTTTCTGAGATTCCCGGGTTCTCGAATTTGAACAGAAGTTAATGAAACTGTCTATAGTTTATCGGAACCTATCCAAAATTCCTAGCTATTCTGAAGTTTCAGAACTTCTGAAAAGTTCCTGAAGTTTTCCTGAAGCTACTGGAACCACAATAAAACTCTGGAAGCATTCCTGAAGTTCTGGGGAAGTTGAAAAAACTGACGGGAAAAGACGGAAGCACCTTTCGAGCGAAGCTAGAAGAGCTTCCAAGGGAAGTCGAAATAGCTTTCCGGAAGGAATCGGAAAATGACTTTCAGGGTTGGAAGAAACTTCAAAGGAAAGATTAAAGAAATTTCTGGAAGTTCAAAAATTACCGGGATGAGCCATCAGCTGTTTCTCGACTCCTTGGTAACCAAAAACGGCGAGAAAATGGAAGCATTAGTCGAAAGAGTATCAAGCATAAGACATGACATGACATTTTTTAGAGCAGGCTCAAAAATTTTAATTTTCAAAAGGATAAAAGTCTCATACAATACATTCCTCTGACAATTCAGTGCGGGCAGGCAGTAATCATTTTGATTATTAATGAGAAATCGGTATTAAAACTCAAAAATCGGTATTCTGAGAAACCTTATCTGTATACCGGTATCAAGTTTGAAAATCGGTATATCTGGCAACGCTGACTTGAACAGTTGTCAATTGAGATATTTCTAAGCCTGTATCTGATGGTCCTTTAATCCGGGAATTTAATGTTTAATTACTTTTCAACATAATGACCATGTTGCATGATTATGAACGATGACATAGGGTCACGCTAACATTTACGTAGTATTTAGAGAATTGATAATCAATGTTACTTGTCCGGTACAGTCATTTTTCATAAGAAACATGTACAGAGGATGTAAGAAATCCAATTGACAACTTTGACATGTTGTAACTTTGTTCTCTTAAGATCAATTGAGCTGAAGCGTTACCACAGAACTTCAAATATGTTCAATTTTACGATTACAAAATACAAAATTTTTGGAAGCACCTGCCAAAAAGTGACATCTAGGTGAAATTTTTCGAAATAATAGCAGTTTTTGATTTGAAAATTGATGTCCTGTAAATACTTTAAACATTTTTAACTATTATGTACATTTGTTAATTGGGTGGAGATTGTTTGAATTTTGAGAAATGTAAAATTTAAAATCTCAAAACTGAGCTGAAATGCAAATTATTAAAACTGCTATTATTTCGAACAATTTTACCTAGTATCTCACTGTCGGGCGGGTGCTTCCAAAAATTTAGTATTTTGTAATCGTAAAATTGAACATATTTGTAGTTCTGTGACTAAGGTTTCAACTCAAATGATCTTAAGAGAACACAGTTACAACATGTCAAAAGATGACCATTTTGCATGAAAATCGGCATGCGCTGCTGTTATATCGAACAGCACTGTATATGCAATTTGTTTTGCGTGTAGAAAATTGAGCGAACCTGCAAACCTGTCTTCGGAGATTGACATCTTCGTTATTACATTCGTTTGGGGCTTATACCTTTGAACAAGCGTTTGTGTAAGAAAGTAACTAGTCTTCTTGATATGAAGTCTTCGACAAAATATAGGTTATGTTGTTCTTATGAATTGTAACTAATAGCCTATCTATCTTTACTCAAAACTATCAGACTTTTTTTGTATAGCGAAGCAGTTCTGAGCGATAGGGTGGATTCCTGAATTGTTTCTAGAGTGTTTGTCTCGACAGATGGAGTTTGAGCGTTCATGAAAATACACCTAAGGTGAGATCTGGCCCTTCTTAACATTTGGATTTAATGTGTTGTGTGGTGAGTTTTATCCCTTGAAAGGAACTGTAAACTACGCAAGGCGCACCCCGAACATATCCTCCAGATGTGTCTAATGTGATCTTGACCTCTTGATGTAACCACCATTACACTTGTTTTTGAATTTTCATGTAATTTGTGGTGTCGCATGATGGATTTTGATCCTAATCAGAAACTGACCACTTCCCGGATGTCCGGGATGTGTCCAATGTGATCCTGGGCACTTGATATAATCAACATTGCATTTCTTTTGGAGTTTTCATGTGAGTTGAGGTGTCGCATGATGCATTTTGGTCCAAGTCAGAAACGGACCACTTCCCTTGGGGTACCCGGAACATATCCGGATGTGTCCTAGGCACTTGCTATAACGAACAATGCACTTGTTTTAGTATTCTCATGTGATTGTTGCATGATGGATTTTGGTCCAACTCAGACACTGGTTACTTCCGTTGGGGTACGGTACCCGGAACATGTCCGGATCAGGGCTGGTAAATGTCATTTTCAATGAAAGATCTCACGCGATCTCTACAGAGATACTTCCGCCACTATCACTGGATGAGAAAACTATGATTTATTCAAAATCTCATCGATTTTTTTTTGTCATTGCAGAACGTGACAGTTTGCTTGATATTATTGTTATTTGTGCCACGGAAATCTTAAAAATAAATTCACTTTACCGATTACACACTACTGGATTGCCTAAACTCATCTAAATCAGATAGAAATTTAGATGTCAAACCCGTAAGATAATTGTTCTCATGAGTGCCGGATCATTGGGGAATGACAAGAAAGCTCATGATAGGAAAGTTCGTCTCGTGATAGTAACAGGACCTGTTTTTTCATTGTCGCATGACGGCCGTGATATTTACCAGATCTGGTGGGGATGTGTCTAATGTAGTCCTGGGTATTTGAATATCTGGCTTTTTTTTTAATAGCGATGCAGTTCTGAGCGATAGGATAGATTCCTGAAATGCTTCTAGTGTGTTTGTACAGAGTTTGTTATTGACCCTGATATTGTACCTAACAAACTCCAAATATAGACAACCGGAAGTAATATCGGCCTAAATGCCCCTAATTTGGGCCCAAAACATAAATTCAGCAATCGACTAAATTTTCAATAGCTATCAAAAATATCCATTAGTACCGTCCCAATGAGGCGTTCAATAGCAGCTTTTTAGCGATGGGCCCAATCTTAGATCCATAGGCCAACATAAGAGCCATTCCCCCTATGTCGAAAAATCGAATATCGAATGAAAATACCGATTCTGCGATACATCGAAATCTTGGAACGTTCCTAATTGTTGGCGGAAAAAGTTCATCAATATTAAACACAAGGAAGTTCATGCCGTACAATGGATTAGGTCCTAAGTAACATTGATCGATTCTCTTCATGGGCTTTCTCTTTCGTAAATAACTTGGCTATCAAAACGTTTCTTGACATATTTGTTATGTAAGATGCTAGATAATAGTTTCTCACACCGGACGGTGTTGAAAATAGCTGGAATTTTTCGAACATGGCCGTGGGGATGCAAAGAGAAAATCGACGAAGAGAATCTGTAAATGTAACTTAGGACCTAACCAGTGGCGTTTCCTTAACCTCAATCTACCTGTGCACCAACTCTCAAAACATAAACAACTATCAACATATTACTTGCAATGGATAGATATCGAATAAACTAGAAGATTAAGTGTATTTTTCAACCGATCGGAGTATGAATATGACATTAAATCTGGTTTTGAAAGTTGGTGCACAGGTAAACGTGTATGGTTTCTTCTCTGAAAAATAATGTGTACGCTCAAAAAGAGTGCTTGTGCTCTTAAGGATCATCACCAATCTTTTCAACTGGGAGTTGAATCATATTTACTTTAAATTGATATATGGCAGTGAACCGTGGAGTAAAACCAGAAAAAGAATCCCGATTAGACATGTCAATCCGGTTTTATGGCCATTTCAAGCCGATGTCGACCCTATGTCAGGTTCGTGTCAGACGAATGTCGAGTTGGTATCTGATAGAAGTTTCATTCGTATCGGATTGACTCAAGTGTTGCGTCGGAATGTCGATATCCGGTCGTCCATTAGGTTACGTTCACCTGAATGACTTCGATTGGCGATGCAGATCGAAATCATCTATCATGTTGTACTCACTTTCGTCAAATATTTTCAAATTCAAATTCCGAATTAGCAGCACTGATCATTACAACCTTCCAGCGATGGAAAAGCTGGCAAACCATAGATAAAATCGCAGAAGAGAGCGTACCATGATAATCAACAACAGAACTACGGAGAAGCGCGCGCATTCGAAACAACCAAACAGAACCTAAACAAACGCAATAATACGGTAACAATACAAAAACAAAAAAAAACGAAAACCTCCAAACATCAGAACAAAACTCACATTTACCATTACTGTGACCGGAGCTGGTCGTCGCGGTATTGGTAGCAGAAGATGGCACTAGGCTAGCGGACGGGCCCGTTAGCATGTCGGAAGGTAGCTTTCCGAAGACTTCGTGGTACGACAGAAATTGACTGAGATCCTCGATGTTGACTTTCAACATTTCGACGTTGTTGGGCGGTTTGCTCGGATCGTGGTGCTCCGGCATGTTGATCTTGACGATCGACCCGTCCGGACCGCGCACGTCCATCAGGTGGGCAGGTAACGAGGGCATCTTGAACTCCGGCTTCACGATCGGTATCGGCTGCGGAGGAGGCGGATGCGCCTGCGGTGGACCCTGCGTCGGCGGCGGAGGCGGATGATGGCCGCTGCCACTGTGTGCCGGGTGCACCTGCATGTTGCCTAAATACTGTGGTTTCGTATGGTCTGACGGCACCGTCCCGTTCAACTGTTCCGGCGACACGGGTACAAATGGTAACAACACATAAATAGAGCGGTACACTAAAACGTAACGTACAAGCATCACATTACCTGTAAGTGTGCACCGGGCGGTACAGCCGGATGTCCACTGCTGCCCCTACTACTGTGCGCACTGGCAGCAGGTCCGGAAAGATTCGTCAAGTGTGACGGTCCTGAATTGGGGCGAAAATTGGTTTCAACACAAAAAAAAAATGTCGTTAACAATGCACTTAAAAGCTAGCGATATAGATTAAGCGTTTTGCCTCTGGTTGTAGGAGGGCAAAACTAGCGCACACCTATGGCCGATGGGGGTACAGTTGGAGCCGAGCTGGCGCTTGGTGGCGTTGGACCAGGAACGCCACCCGGCTGATGGTAGAGTCCAGGCGCAGCCGGCCCTAACGGATGGTTGCCACCTGGGGGATGCCGGCTTCCTCCACCCTTGGACGACGTCGTCGACGATGGCGGCTGGTGGGACGGAGGCGGCTGTTGATGCTGCTGCTGTTGCTGCGGATGTTGCGACGGCGGAGGGTGTTGTTGTTGATCCGACTGTTGATGGTGCGGATGCTCAACTTTAGGAATTGGATACACGTTCGAATTTTGAATCAAATTGGTCAGCACCCAAAATTTATTCATCTACAAGAAGGGAGAACGAAGGGATTAGAGTGGAACTGGCCACGGATCGCTACGCGCACTCGGCGGCTTGCGGACGCGCTTTCATTCAACGGAAGCTAATATTTTCATATGCGTTTAACACTAGTCTACTAGGTTTCTACTACGTTTTTACTATTAGTTTTGGGTGCGATTGTTACAGGCGAGATTCTTAGATTTTTGGATTTGTTTTTGGGTGTTATTACTTCTGATGATTAGGCCCGGGTGGTTCTCTCTATGGAAGCCTCTGGCTCTTGGTAACCGCAAATTTCTGCACTTGACTCGGTTGCGAGTTTCATTTGACGCGAGCACTTTTGATGACGGGGGGGTGGATTTAATGCTTGTAGCTAACGTTTTACTTCCTACAAATTTTAGTGGAGAAAATACATCATCAGAAATAATGTCGTGCTTGGCTGGCAATCGAATTTGAAGCGCAAAACAACTGCTGCGGCTTTCCGTACAGAATGTTTCACCGCACAAACATAAAAGTCCGTCAGAGTAAACTCAAATACTACACAAAGCAGTCGTCCAAACTTAAGCAAACGAGAAAGACCAAAAATCACTAAAACATTCTAAGTGAAAGTTTGAAACTTAACCAAAACTCAAGTAAAACAACGCACGAAACTAATAATAAAAACCGAAACCGCAACAACAGAAACCATGAAAGTCGCATCAGCTGCTTTGGTTCAACACAGTAAATATAAAGGAACGACGTCTTACCTTTAGAAATAATCAACAAAAAAGGGGTTTGTTTGATCGAAATCGATTAAAAGAACACAGTGAGTGTGTGTGTGTTTGTAACAGAAGGAGCTATTATTTTTTTCTATCTTCCAATTATGACTGACATCTGAAAATGTTTCGAAAAAAGAAGAGAGAGAGAAAGTGATAAAACGCTGAATTAATGCCGAACAGAAATGATGGTTCGAAGGAAACGAACGAAGAGAAGAGGTGGTGTGGTGGTTCAACAATAACAACGAATAAAAACTAGGTAAAACCGCGAGAAACAACAGGGAAGGAGGAATTTTGTCGCGCAGACATCATCATCATCATCATCATCGTCGTCGTCCATCGGCGGTACACCCTGCCTCCGTTTCGAAAAACCCGGGGATCAAAGAGGAATAGAAGCAAAATAATCCTCTTGCCTCGCGCTGCTGTGTGATATGATTCCCTTTCCCACCTCGACATTTTTCGGGAAAAGTTGTTTCTGCTGGCGATAGACGAAGGAGAGCTAGCCGCTAGCCACCGCGCACCAACCAGCTTCTTCGGCCAGCAGAATACACGGTCCGGAGGTGATCGTTCTACAAAGTTACAAGAGGTTTTTAACCTCCTTCCCCTCGAACCGGACCAAAACTCTCACACATGAGATTTATGCTACCAATACTCAGCAGAAAACCGTGAGCACCACGAGAGTGTACTCGTGTGCAAGTTCTCAGCTCGGCTAGAGTGTTTGTGTTCTGCCGCGGTCTGAAAACTTAAAAAGCGCGAACCGTGTTCTCATACAAATACACTTTTCTGCCCCTCGCGGTTAGGAGGGAAAAGGCGCGTTTCGCGTCTGCATCTTGCAATGGCACCCATACCCACAGAGTACGCTTTATGTGACGGTGGCGGCGGGACGCCACACGGTCGGATCCAAAAACCAGACACTGAGCAGAAAAGAACCCCAATCCTCGTCGTTGTTGCAGCAGTCAGTCGTCGGTTTCTTCGCCCGCCCGCTGTGAATATAATTCGCATTGCTGCTCCCATCGCATCGTCATCACATCATCATGCATTCGCCATCGCCACACCGCACCATGCTGCTGCTAATACTGCTGCTGCTGCTGCTGCTGCTGTGAGAAAATAATGTTCAGCACATGGGGGAGGCGCGCGCGATATTGCGGGAAGAAAAGACGTCTGTGTATTTGGCAGCAAGCAGCACACGCTATCAGAGTAGTGCGATGCAAAACACCACCGACGCTAGAGCGAGACGGAACGAAAACAAGTGAGCTAGAGCGAGATCAGGGAAGCACGAAGCAGAACGGAACTGGCGAGCAGCAGTGGGAGGCTACCGTACGGTGGAGTTGGATTGATTCGTTTGCCGGGATGTTCTAGCTAATACGTTTGTCGTTTGGGTTTTCAACCAACTGATCCCAGCGACGGATTCGATGACGTTTGAAGAAATTTCTCAATTAGGAATCTTTTTTGCATTAATTGTGTTTCAAGACATCATCACACCCACTACAAAATAGTGTTTATTAGAAATCCTCAGAGGTAGACATGAGCGCAGTTAATTTTTTGAGTCAAATGAACAGTCTAAATCTGAGCCAAACAAACATTTCCATTAGAAATAACCAGAGGGGATTTCTTATTCTTACTAGGTAAAATGAGAGAGTATTGTAATCGAATAGAAATTAAATCGTCATTATTCGTGTGCTTTTCAAATTCAAATGGAATCAAAAATAATATCCTAACTCTATTGCTTAATTGATCTTTGCTGGTTAATTAACGACCCAAGATAGTTGCAAAATATTGTAATGAATTCAATTATTATTTTGCACGAAGGTACATCGAATCGAATTGAAAAGCCATGTGAAACGCTACCTTTTGGCAAGGGTTGCAAGATATTTGACATACAAACCCTGCTGCCAAATTGTATTTAAGCCGGCGCCGTTGGTGTAGTGGTAAACGTGACTGCTTTCTAACACCCCGATGGGTCTGGGTTCAATCCCAGCCGAGGTCGGTGGGATTTTTCTGAGGCATAAAAATCTCTGGTCACGTCTTCATTCGGAAGGGAACTAAAGCCGTTGGTCCCGGCCCATGTGTGTTTGTGAATGGGTGCGATATCCTACGCAGGTGTGGAAGCTGCCTTCCTGCACATTCGATTGCCGTCAATGGATGGCAATCGATGTCCGTCGGTGATTGGCACTAGATTGCGGAACAGAGACCGACGTTAAATAAAGGAAAGAAGACAAATTGTATTTTATTTTATCCGCCCATCTTTTCACCCGAGGATTTCTAATGTTGATCACATTCACGGTAGCAGGTAATTTGAGTGGGAAATTGGGATATTGTCAACTCTGAAAAAAGTCATCAAATCTGCTGCCTCTACAATGCAAGACGAACATGTGAAAAGGGCCACGGAGCCACATGTAAACACTTAAGCGTCCTTTTGAAAAATTGCGCTTACTTTTTAAAGTAACTTAAGATATTTCCCTGTGAGACTTTGCAAGAATCGCATAAAGTTTAGGTTTTACAAAATTAAAACAGGGGGTCAAGGGTGTCCACATTCCCCTACTTTTTATGTGGTGTGAAACATAATTCTAGACAAACATGAGAAAAGGGGCAATGAGCCAACTACAATAACTTTAAACGTGGATTTCTTACTGATAAAGATTCATCCAGGAAGTTCACTCTATCCGATGGTTTTAGTTGTTATTCGTGAATCATTTCGACATTTCTAGACAAACAATCGAAATACGCCGAACTACCAATCGTAAACAATGGCTTTACCAGCAAATTTCTCGAGTATCAAAACACACCCATGCAAGCTAACAATGCTGTTCGATGAAGTGAGTTTGCTCTTCTTGAGAAATTTGCGTGTAAAGCCATTGTTTACGATTGGTAGTTCGGCGTATTTCAATTGTTGATTTAGAAATGTCGATTTCTCACGAACCACAAACCAACTAAAACCATCGGATGGAGTGAACTTCCTCTACCAAATGCTGCTATTGGTTTGCCTGGATGAATCTTCAGCCATGAGAAATCCACGTTTAAAGTAATTGTAAACAGTTGACTCATTGGCCCCTTTCATATGTTTGTCTAGAATTGTGTTTCACATTTAAAAAAATAAAAAGTAGGGGAATGTGGACACACTTGATTCCGTTTTAATTTTGTAAAATCTAAATTTGAGGCGATTTTTGCACAGTCTCACAGGGAAATATCTTAAGCAGCTTTATAAGCAAGCGTAATTTTCAAAAGGACGGCAAAGTGAACAAATCGACCTTCTATCCGGTTATTAAAGATATAAAAAAAAATTCTATTATGAAAACATCAATTCCATACGTCCTATATGCTCTTTTTCAATGTAATGAAAACAGTTCAGATACACCTAGATGAAGCAAGTGATCAACGATCTGTCAAAACGACGTATCATACACGGCCAGTATCATTATATTTTATGAAAATTGTACTTCCGCTTCGCAAAAAAAAACGGCATTTTGCATAATTTTCAAAAACCCTAACCCTGTACAACGTAGTGAAGAATTAGATCGAGCAAAATTGACAAAGTCTTTAAATAGGGTTGAATAATGAATATTGTTATCCCACTTTTCTCATATTCTATCAAATGCTAGATGTCTACTTTTGAAAAGCTACGCTTGAAATACTTTAAGGTCAACCCAAATCCAGCAAACATCCAGGATGAGTTTGTAAAAAAAAAGTATTCGTACCCCTTCGTTCTATCCAATTCATGAATCCTGATTCTACGATGTTTAAGCTTTTATTAAAATCCACCTAAGGTTATTTTTTTTTTTTCTTTGTTTTGTTTTTTTCCGTCGATCTTGTTTTCCGTGCTGAGCACCAATGCTACCGACGTGCCAGGAAGGCAGCTCCCACACCTGGACCCTACCTATCGACCCATCAACTCATGAACCGGGGACCAACGGCTTTACTTCCCATCCGAAGGAAGGCGTGATCAGAGATGTTATGCCTCAGAACATCCCGGCGGCGCCGACTGGGATTGAACCCAGGCTTGCTGGGGTGAGAGGTAATCACGCTTACCACTACACCACCGGCGCCGTTCCACCTAAGGTTAGATCTGACCCTTCTTACATATTTATTTAATGTGTTGTGTGATGGGTTTTGTCTTTTGATAGGAGCTAGAAACTACCCAAGGGGCACCGGGAACATATCCAGATGTGTCTAATGTCATCTTGGCCTTTCTGATGTAACCACCATTGCATTCGATTTTGAATTCTCATGCGGTGTCACTTGATGGGTTTTGGTCCAAGTCAGAAACTGACCACTTCCCCTGAGGTACCCGGAACATGTCCGGATGTGTCCAATGTGGGGTCCTGGGCACTTGATATAATCAACATTGCACTTGTTTTTCAATTCTCATGTGATTTGAGGCGTTGCATGATGGATTTTGATCCAAGTCAGAAATAGGCCACTTCTCTTGGGGTATCCCACGCCAGACCCGACCCCACCAAAGATCTGTTCATTTTTTAGTTACTCTATTTCTTATCTATATTCGATGTTCATTTTTTACTTTCAAAAAATTCCGGTCTTACTGCTACTAATGTTGATTCTTCTTCCGAACGAATGCCAATTATAGACCTACATTACAGGGATGAGCTCAAATCGAAGTTTCATGACGTTTTCTTCTTTCAAGAAGGATAACGAAAAAGCATCTGTTACGACATCTGGTCCGCGAATAATAAACGTCGGACAGGCCTGCCAAAGTGATATATAAATTTAAAAAAATACTGGGTGAATAACAAATGTTTTCATCATTTGCAGATTTTCTTTAACTCAATATCTCTCTAAGTCGGTGATTCCTTGAATATCGAGTAAAGAAGAATTGACTGTAATAACAGTTTAAAAATAATGTATTAAATGATCAAGATCAAGATGCTTACAAAAAAAAAACAAAATCTTCGATATATGTAGCCGGTCAACCCATCACTTTTACTAGAAATCAGTTCTAGTGTAACTAAATAAACACAGTATCGTATGCTGCCGGATGTTATTGTTTGCCAGCAGATTTTAAGGTTTTGATTGGAATCCTGTTGTTTTGCACACATCTTAACATCTTCACTTTTTATCATCATCCTTGTGCGATTATAGATAATTTTGATCAATAATATATTG